AAGTTTTTGAATAAACTATCATACAGTGGATAGAGTACCAGGCCTGGAGTCAGGAAGTCTCATTTTCTGGAGTTCAAATCTGGCCGCAGACAACTTACTAGCTGTGTGATCCTGAGCAACTTACTTGACTCTGTTTGCCACAGTTTCCTCATCTGTAAAATGAGATGGAGAAGGAAATGGCAAATTACTCCAGTATCTTTGCCATGAAAACCCCAAATGGGATCACAAAGAGTTGGACATGACTGAACTGACTGAACAACAACAATAACAAAATCATATATTCACTATCTGTGTGGGATTCCAGAATGTACTTATTTTCTTGATTTCTAGTGATAGATTTTATACCAGGGTGAGTTTAGATTCTAGGAAAAGAGGAAAAATAAGAGCAAGAAAAGGATATTGGTCTTCTTCAAAAATGAAGAACAACCAAAAGAAATGCAGTCCCTGCCCTCAAGGAACTTGCCATCAATGGGGGAAAACAACATATAAAGGAAACTGAAAAGGAGAAGGAGAAGGAAGGCACCTAGAATGGGGATGTGATGGAAAAGTCCAAAAGCAGTACAACTGGTAGGAAATGGGGAGAAGACTCCCCTCCCCTCTACGGAGGTTTTGGAGCTCATGGCTTTGCTCCACAGTCAGAGGGTCGAATCAGAGTGATGTCACAGAAAGCTATGTCTTAGATTGTCTTCTCTGTCTACATTCTTTACCTTGATGGCAGCATTTGATCCCATAGCTTCAATCATTCCCTCTATGTAGATGATTCCTAAATCTAGACTGAATCAAAATTAATCTCAACTCCTTAGTGCCAGTCCTTTAAAGCGAATGTGGTCACCTATATGTTCCCTGGACATCTTAGCTTCAATGTGTCCAAAAATGCAACTGCTTGGTTCCCTACCTCTTCTCCTCCCAATTCTCAGAGCTGGCTCTGTCATTTCCCTGAAGAAATCTGTTATTCCCCATTCAATAAACCCTACTACCTCCAGCATCCAATGTAATGTCTTTGACATTTAAAGTTCTTCTCAACATGGTCCCTACTTACTTTTCCAGTCCTCTTATATTCTACTCCCTTTCATGTTTTATAACACAACCACTCTGATCATACACTACTTCATACTTCATACTACATACATACATACACCTTCACATACACTACTCCTGTCATCCCTATGCCTTTACACCAGCTGTTCCACATTGCCTGAAGTGCTCTCTCTCCCAACCTCTGACCCTCAGAATTCTTAGCTTCCTTTAAGACTCAGTTCAAGTGTTGCCTACTTTAGAAGGCATTTCTACTCCTAGCTACTAGTACCATTCTATCTACTCTGTATTTATCTTGTAACTTCTGATTAATATATGTTGTCTCCCCTACTCCGAATAGAATGTAACTGTTTTTGCTTTTGCTTTTTATCTCTAGTGATTAGCACAGTGCCAGGCACAGAGTATATATTATGATGATGATAATAATAGCTAGCTTTTATATATTGCTTCAAGATTAGCAAAGCACTTCACATATGTGGCCTCATTTAATCCTCAAAACAATCCTGTGAGGAAGATGCTATTATTCTCCTTATTTTACAGGTGAGGAAGTTGAGCCAGAGAGAGGTTAAGAGACTTAATTCTTAACTGTGTGCCCAGGGTCACACAACTGGTAAGTATCTAAGGCAGAACTTGAACTTCAGTCTTTCTGGACTCCAAGGGCAGCACTCAACCCACTGTGCCACTTTCTTCTGAATAAAGATTTGTTTGTTTATTTGTATACTATAGGCCTTTATGTTTTTTAAACAACAGTGATAGTATTTTATTTTTTCCAATTACATGTAAAGACAGTTCTTAACATTCATTTTTTATAAAATTTTGAGTTCCAAATTTTCTCTCTTCCTCTCTTCCTTTTCCCCTCCCTAAGATGGTAAGCATTTTGATATAGATTATATGTGTGTAATAATGTAAAACATATTTCCTTATTAGTCATGTTGTGAAAGAAGAAACAGTTTGCAAAATACAGTTTGCAAAAGGAAAAAAACCATGAAAGAAATAAAGTGAAAATAGTACACTTCGATCTGCATTCAGACTCCATCAGTTCTTTCTCTGGATATGGACAGCATTTTCCATCATGAGTCCTTTGTAATTGTCCTGGATCATTGTATTGCTGAGAAGAGCTGAGTCAATCACAGTTGATCATCACACAGTGTTGCTGTTACTGCGTACAATGTTCTCCTGGCTCTGCTCACTTCACAGTAAGTTTTCATGTAAGTCTTTCCAGGTTTTTCTGAAATTTACCTGCTCATCGTTTCTTATAGCACAACAGTATTCCATTACATTCATATATCACAACTTGTTCAGCCATTCCTCAATTGATGGGCATCCCTTCCTCAATTGATGGGCATCCCTTCAATTTCCAATTCTTTGCCACCACAAAAAGAGCTGCTATAAATATTTTTATACATATGTGTCCTTTTCCCTTTTTTATGATTTCTTTGTATCCAAGGATACGCATCTAGTATTGGTATTGCTAGATCAAAGGGTACGCACAGTTTGATTGCCCTTTGGGTATAGTTCCAAATTGTTCTCCAGAATGGTTTGATCAGTTCATACCTCCATCAACAATGCATTAGTGTCCCAATTTTCCCACATCCTCTCCAACATTTATCATTTTCCTTTTCTGTCATATTAGTCATTCTGATAGGTGTGAGGTTAAAACAACTCAGAGTTGTTTTAATTTACATTTCTGTAATTAATAGTGATTTGGAACATTTTTATATGACTATAGATAGCTTTGATTTCTTCATCTGAAAACTGCCTGTTCATCTCCTTTGACCATTTATCAATTGGGGAATGATTGTATTGTTATAAATTTGACTCAGTTCTCTATGTATTTGAGAAATGAGCCCTTTATCAGAGACACTTGCTGTAAAAATTATTTCTCAGCTTATTGCTTTCCTTCTAATCTTGCTTGTATTGGTTTTGTTTATGCAAAACCTTTAAAATTTAATATAATCAAAATTATCCATTTTACATCTCATAATGTTATCTCTTGTTTGGTCATAAATTCTAACGTTCCCCATAGATCTGATAGGTAAACTATTCTTTGCCATTTTCTATCTCTATTCTTCCAGCATTGTGATGAATAGCAATGTATTAATAATGTTTTGTAAAATTAGAATTTTAGAATACTTTGCAGAATGGCTGTGGTTATAATACTAACATCATTACTGCTGTTAGTGTGTTGTATACCTCCCTTGAAAGAAGAATGCACTGATAGAGCAGAAGTACATTAGGTGACAGAAGTCTTGAAAGTTTGTACTGATAAAGCAGGTGATCAGGAAGGTAGGGTCAGGGTGGGATGGGAGAAAAAGGAGCCTTATCATGGTGGGAAAATCCTAGCTCTAGTCAAAGAACAATTGAGCTGTAATTTTTTTTCCATTCAATTTTATATTCAGTTCCAAATTCTCTCCCTCCCCCACCTCTTCCTTATCCATTGAAAAGGCAAGAAATACAAGACCCATTACAAATATGAAGTCATGCAAAACAAATTTCTTCATTAACCATATTTTTATTAAAAAAGGAGAAAATGTCCTTCAATCTGTACTTTTAGTCCCTTAGTTTTCTCTCTGAAGGTGGCTAGCATTCCTCATCATGAGTCCTTTGGAACTGTGGTGGGCCACTGTGTTGATCAGAGTTACTAAGTCTTTCAGTTTTACAATATCTTTACAATATTAATTGTCACTGTGTAAATTGTTCTCCTGGTTCTGCTCATTTCACTTTGCATCAGTTCATATGTCTTCCTAGGTTTTTCTGAAACCACCCCTTTTATCATTTCTTCTAGCATAGTAGTATTCCATCACATTCATATATCATAACTCTTTCAGCTATTTCTCAATTGATGGGTGAGCTATATTTCTCTATTAGCTCCTCCTCATATAAAACCCTTTGGCCCCAAAGAATGATAGAACACTTAATGTTGGGTCATTGTCCCAGATGGCTGAAATCCTCCTGCTTAACAGAACCTATTGCATATCCCAGTTGGGAATCTTAGGATTCAGGCTAACTACAAAGCTCATTTAGTTATGTCCTGATCTTGCGAACACTTGGAAAGAATTTTGCCCGAAACTTATAATTCTGAGTTCTGCACATGGTAATTTCCTAGGCCTCTATATTTTGTGGTACAGTGGGAAGCAGTATGATACAATGGAAATAGGGCCAGTTTCAGTCAGAGGACCTGGGTTCAATTCCCACTTCTGTTACTATTCTTGGGACCTTGAACAAATCACTTAAACTCCACAAGTCTGTTTCCTTATTTGTAAAATGAAGGGGTTGTGCTAGAGGGCTTCTGAGGTCTGTCACGCCAGTGCTCCTCCTTGCCCCAGGACTGTGACCCAGATCCAAGCACGGGCAAAGCAAGAGAATCCCGCCTTGGCATCAGCAGATAGATCCCCGCAGTTCCCCTCTGATCAGCCATATTCTTCTGCTGCTGATGAGAGGTGTGGGAGTAGTCACTGTTCGGCTTAGCTTTTTTAAAAAATTAACTTTGTAAGGGAAGGTGCTTTAAAGGTTGTTAGGAAAGTGATCGTTGTATTAAAAGCCCAAAATACATCAATAAAACTTTAAAAAAATGTACGTTTTGGCAAATTTTGTGATCTAGCCTTATCCCAAGTAGACAAAGGGAGAAAGCCCAACATATTCTGTCTAGTTATGACTCAATGTATCTGTATTATGTCTTCTCTTCATATTTATTTAAGCTTTCACATGTTTACCTCTAATCTTTTTAATTTGGTTATAAGTTCCTTGAGGACAGGGATGCTGCCTTATACTTCTTTATATCTATCATAGCACCTATAAAGTAACATTAGTAGCATAGATTGATTGAACTGTGCCTTTCCCAAGTCAGAGACAATACTTTGCAAAGGGAATCCTTCAGTTATATTTATTTATTTTATGAATTTATTTTACACTTTCCTTCCAAAGACTAAAAATGCCATACAAGGAATTTTTGAATTTTCAGCAACCAACATCCCCAAACATCATGCCAGAAAATCCTTGATGTGGGGAAGAAGAGGAGAAGCAGGACATCTCGAAATGGCAAATTTCAGGGTCCAAATCACTGCCCAGCAAATCTCTGAACACCAACAGGGACCCCACCCTATATCAGGCAAAAGAAGGAGGGAAACTGATGTTTTCATCTTTCTTTCCAGACTAGCAGCACAGTCCTGCCCTCAGAACTGGGCTCAGCCTCTTTTTATCCCTGCCTTCTCCAGTATCCACTGTCAACATTCCAACTAAAATGTGCCAGAAACCAGGAGATGTCTGGACTCAGAAAGATTGTATGAATGATGAGCTGATCTAGAAGACAGACTCCATGGGCTCCAAATTCACCTGCTCTCTCTCCAAGTTTGGGTCCTTGGGAATTACACGGGAAGATCTTAGACACTTAGTGTGAAAGAATTCCTTGTGGATGAGGATGAAGAGTATTGCTGGGGGAAAAAAAAGGCTAGAATGAAGCTCAGGTTATGGTAATTTAGCATCAAAGTGGGGGACTCACTATTAGAGGAGGTGTCAGGACCCAGTGGAACCCTATCTATTCCTAAAATGCGCCACAGATTTACTCTACTTCTCCAAGAAAATTTTCCATAATTACCTCCCTGAGCTTTTATTCCTCTACTCAGAATCATTACTTCAAGTTATTTCTGTTGGAATAGGAATCTAACGGAGAGACGTAATCAGGTTCAGAAACAAGGAAAAAGAAGTAAAGAAAAAGAAGAGAAAGGGAAAAAATTAGAAAAGATAAAAGGGGAGAAGCAGACAAAAAAGAGAGAGAATGAGGATAGTTGTACTCTCTACTTTCCATCCACAACTTTGCTTGGTTTGAACTCCAAGGAACAAGATACCCCTTCCAGGATAAGCTGATAAACCTTGGATATTCAACACCTTCCCAGCTCCCTCAGCCTCCCCTCTCCCCTCTGACTGGAGGACTGGAAGGTGGAACACTGAACTTCTCCCAGAGCTTTCCTTTATAGAGGTCAGGATCTGGACTTTCCAGCTCACTCTCCTGTAGCTTTGCTCAGTTTGAACTCCACAGAACAAGATGCCCCTGGTATGTCCACTCCCCCTCCCCTTTCCAGATAGCCTTGTAAGCTCCTTGAGAGCAAGGGCTATTTCTTTTTCTTATTTGTATCCTCAGTGCTTAGCAGCGCTTAATAAACTTTATTGAACAGTCAGGTTTATTTAGTGTCTGCTGTTTAAAGAGCAGTGTCTTAGATACAAATGGAAAAAAAGAAAAGAAACAGAAGGTATAATTTCTGTCTTTGAAGGGCTTATAATTTAGTTGGAAAGATAATACATAGCTATGAAACAAATAATGTTTTCAGATAGATAGGATGGGGTCAGTTTGATGAACACATATGGATATGTAGGAATATATACACATACACATGGGGGAATAAATGGAATAGTGAGTTGGGAGAGTGCCTTCTAATGGAAATTCTTTTGGAGAAAGTTTGATTAAGAAGAAAGGGATAGAGATAGGAACCAGCTCATAGTTTGGTTTAAATCTGGCCATGCCCATGGGTCTAGGGACACTCACCAGAATACAGGAACAATATGAAGCAGATAAAGATGATGAAGTAAGGCCATAAAAAGGTGATCCTTGGGCCTTTGCCTCTGAAACTCTTCATCTGTAGCACATGCATTAGCAAACCAATGAGTACAGTTATAGCTGTTACCCAAACAAAACAAGAGGGTCACTTAACCTCTCCAGGCCTGTTTCCTCATCCATATTTAACTACCAGGTGATGTTGACAGCTATTCACTGGGGCTCTCCCGTGCTCAGTTTGGCAGTTTGTACATGCCTTGGTAGGACAGAAGAGTTAAATCAGTGCTGAGCTTTCTATCTTTACCAGACAAGTAGCAAGTTTCTATCCCTCAACTCCCCTTCTCTGTGTGGGCAGCTCCTTGTCTATAGGCACTTGTCTAGCTAGGTGTGTGTGGGTCAGTAGATGTTTCCAACAACAACTCACTGACTTTTATTTTGACTAGAACTAAATTAGATGATGACTCTCAGAAATATCCAACTATAAGCACAGAGTGTTCTTCACTCTTCTGGGCCTGTTTTCCTCATCGATAAAATAAGGGGATTAAGTCAGATGATCTTTCAGGTCTCTCTGAGTTCTAAATTATATGGCCCCTCTACTGAGGCTATCCCTGAAACTAACAGCTTCCAACTTAGGGAGTGCATATCTCATCATGCAATAAACTAGATAGCATATTATAACCCTCCTCTCCCCAGGCCACTATAGTCTCTTGGAAAGTCCTTCCTGACTCTCACCATTGCTTACGGTTGGAATTCTGTCCATCAGTCCATGTGTACTTTGGTGCGTGTCCTAAAGAGTGGCACAAATTGCCAAAATTGCCAAAGTGCCAAAATTGGCATCTATTAAAGCCAAAACTTAACCTAATCACCTATGGAAAGAGGTGAGGTCTATTCAGCACCTGATGGTGACTCAGAGCTTTCTGAAATTGTTCCAGCATATTTCAAAAAGCACCAAACCTATCAATTCCACCTAAACTCTTCTTCCTATCTCAAACCTCTGACAGAATTTAATTCCCTCTGCCCAAACACACTTCTAAATCACATTCATCCTTTCCCCTAGAATTCAACATCTATTTTTGCTTGACCTCATTTCCCCACCCAAACTCACCTCTTATATTAACTCTATCTCTTAATCTCATTCCTTTCCCTGATTTGAACTCTTGGCTCAAATGCTCCCCAACTGACACCTACAGGACATTGACTCAGATTCAACCTCACCTAATTGAACTTCAAATGCAACACCCAACCCTTAGTCTTCCACCAAAGATCTCTTCTCTATTAGTCCAATCCTAGATCTCTAGAAACAGAATGTATCCCAGCCACCTCTAACTTTGCCTAAAGGTTTAGTAAAAGCATAAAAACAACACACCAAAAGGATAAAAGAGATAGATACTTCCACCATACTGAGTTCCCAGTCTTAGTTTGGAAACGAAGCTCACATATATTGCTACCCAAGAAATCAGCTCTATCCAGAGTAGAGCCTGTTTGGGAATGGCTTGATGGAATAGAAGGTCTCTGCAATTTTATATTGAGGCAGACAAAAGCCTTTGACTAATGTACTAAGTAAGGAGAAGCAGGCCCAAGGCTTTGAATATATCAATCATGAATAGATCAGATAATGATAAAAGATAAACACAGTGTTTGGCAGAATTCCTTCAGTATGGAAACTGCCTTAATGGGTTCATTAGTCATTCTAACAGTTATCTGTCCACCTTACTTCTCCTAGGGGAAGTCTAATTAGTCTATACAACTTACCTCCCCCTGCCCAAACCCCCTTCCATTATTCAGCACCTATCCATTCACTAAAAAACTGAATTCACTGTCCATGAAGACTCACCTCCCTTTTCCACAAACACATCTCCTCAATTCACTTTACATTTCCCACAAATGCATTCTCCTGTAGATTACCCAACCTCTCCAAATCTGTCTCTGCCAAATCTCACTCTCTCCCATCTAACTTCAAAAGCTCTGTCTAGCCTCCTCCTTGCAATCTTATTCCCACCCCCATCTACATTTACTGCCAAATAGCCCACAAGATACATATTTTAGAATGCCAGTTATATCTCCCCTTCCAAAGCTTAATAATAGAAAAAGCTGACAGAACTAGTTTCCAAAATGGGACAGGGAAATGAAATATACCTCTTCATGGACAATGGGCAACATTTCTATAACAGATGACTGGGAAGGGGAATGGAGTTTGATCTGCTGTACTGGGGTATCTCCCAAGAATTTGGGCACGTATGTTTTGGGCCCATGGAAAGAAACATGTTCTGGCTGAAAGACTTGTGCTTGAAGAGGGCTATCCCTTATTGGTCTCTGACTCTGGTATATATCAAAGATAATGGTGACTGAGACAGGAAGAGCCACCCACACAGGAAGCTATAAAAGTAATTATGGAGAAACAACTTCCTCTCTCTTTATCACTTTTTGGAACACATTGCTTAGGATTTAGGCCTTTCACCTTTCAGCAAATGAGGGAGGGGCCACAGCCTCTTCCCTTTACGAACCGCAGTTATGGCAGCTACAGTACACAGCAATCAGGATAGATATCTAGGTGAGGGTGAGACTGGACCTCAAGTGCTTGGCTGCCTTTTCTACTTTGTATTTTTTTCCTTGAGCAAAAGTGACTGAACAAAGATTCTGAGATGTATTAACTAATCTTGGCATGTACCTCATGAGCTAGAAAGTTTAGGAGTTTGAAAATCAGGTACTGATGACTAATGGTACGAGCTAATTCTTAAAACTGCAGTGCTGGTCAGAATAGACTAACATCTTTGGGAGAACTGTGGGACTGCTGAAGAGATTTCACTTTCCTCAGTCTTGTTCCAGCAGCAATTTAAGCTCCAAGTCTAGATCTTCTGGCAAGAGCATGGTTTAGAATTCCAATGGCAATGTTCTCCTCTGGGAAATATTGCAGTTGGACGAATCATTTTCCACTGACAGTAACACTTAACTCCAGAATTTTACAGCTCATGAGGTAGCCATGAAAGCTAGAACCTTTTATCTCAGGATCACTAATAAGTCATTCATGCTCAGGGAAATAAACACAAGCAGAAAATGTAGCTAGGGACTTGAGGTCCAGTCTCATCCCCATCTAGGCAAGCAAACATCCTCACTGCCATGTGCTTGTAACTGCCATAATTTCAGGGTATGAATAGTAGAGAAATTCCCTATCCCCTTGAGAAGTCCAAAGGAGAGGATGCTTGAATTCTAACTGACATGATCTGAAGAGAGTTGAAGAGAGAGAAGCTGTTCCTTCTTAGATCTTCTTATAATCTATTGAATAGGTGGTTCTTCTTGGCTCGGTCATAAATAATCTTTGACACAGTGCCACAGATCAACAAGAAAGTGCTATGTTATCCTAAAACACTAGTCCTCAGTGTGGAACCAGAGCATCTCTCTCCCCACTGAGATAATTCTCATGCTCAGCTCCATGCCCCACTTCCTTCCCCTGCCCCCCAATACCAAGCAGTTAATTCCTTCCTTCCATTCTTCTTTCCATTCTTCCTTTTTTCTGAGATACCCCAGTACAGCAGATGAGGGAAGATTCCCTTGATCATAACCCCAGTTAACATTTCTTACTCAATTTGCCACCAACAAGCCCATCCCTTAAACTAGATACATTTCAAAGTAGGGGAACCAATTTTTCCCATCCCATACCTGTAATGCTGTCCATGAGGGCAAAAACGAGACACTCCAGGGGAAAAGGAGAGCATAACTGGAAGAAGAAGCTTAGCAACATGAAGTTCAGGAAGAATGAGAAGACAACAGCGAAGCCAATAAAGCACCGGCCATAAATCAAGTATCCTGTGGGGGAAAGTGAGAATCTGGGTTGGGGGTAATGGGGTCACTTCTCCCTCCTTCAACTTAACCTCTGACCTCAAAGAAGAATAATAGCTAAAGGAGTATGACTGGCTAGGGCTAAGAGAGGCAGGTTATAATAAAAACAGGGATAGAACTCCAAGTGACTAGGCCAGGAAAGGAGGTCTATGGAAGTGAGCATGTCGGGGGACTGGGAAGGGATTGTAGGGGTGTTTACTGAGGGACACAGCTTGTCATGCTCTCCTAATATGTCAGCACTTGAGCCTCTTGTTTATATTGAACTTTGCTTTTCTTAGATCTTCTCCACCCCCTAATCACCGATTTATGCCACTTTGTCAATAGTCACTAGCCTCTTCAAAGGCTAAAGCCTATGGCAAAATACAAACCACACCCTGTAAAGGACCCTGCTTACTACCTGCTGAGTCTCCTGGCTTCCAGCATGCTCCTTCGACACAGGTCTCCCAAAGGCTACTGAACACCATTTTGTCGGCATATGAGAGCTGTGTCCAGTGAGGGCAGGCAGTGGCCCATGTTAGCATAAGACAGCCCATGAGGTTGAAAGCCAGGGTCCCAACCCAACACAGGTTCTTCAGCTCATCGATCGAAAAGATAAATTTTCCCTAGTGAGGGAAAGAGATAGTGATGGGACTTGTGCGTACCTGCATGTATTCCTTCGCCACTCTCCCTGCCAGCCTAGGATTTGTTCTTCCATCTAGCTCAACTAGTAGTTTTGAGGCATACTAAGATTGGAGGTCTGTTTTCCCTCAAATTTCTTAAACAGAATCCGGCCCAGGGTGGTCCTTTACCCTTTATATAATCCTCATCCTGGCCTCCACCAAGTCTTTATCAAATAGTCCCCCTCTCTAATAATATGCTCCTACTTCACTACTCCCTAACTTCTCTATACTTTGGCAAGATTAGTTAATATACAGTTCCCCATACCTCTCAACACACACACACACACACACACACACACACACACACACACACACACACACA